TACCACATGAAAATTTTTACGACATATAAACAACACTTACATGTCCTTTGAATCCAAGTACATTCACACTCTCCAAAGGAAGAATTTAATCTAAATCTCACAACACTCTATTACAATAGTATAAGAAAAGTCAAATACAAGCTTAAAATGTCTTTTACTGGGTAAGAAACACCATGGACTTAGAGTCCATTATATAATGAATATCACACACTCCCTTACTTATCCTAGGTAATATTGAACTTTCTAAGATATATTATTTTCATTAGCCTAACAATTTCCTATATCATTAAAATAAATGCATCTTCATTGCTTATACCAACAATCATACTCCAACATAAAGAGTATACTCACTTAGAATTAAACCATCTCAAGAATTTCCTTTCATTACACACCTGCATCAAAGCTTACCAAGGCCCATGTATAAACAACACATAACCTACATCAATATTAACGAATGCCCTTCCACAATTACCACACACCCTACATCAAAGTTAATCAATGATCATGTATAATCACGACATACCATGCATCAATATTAGTCAATGCCCATGTATAATTACCACACATCTTGCATGCCTATGTATAATCACAACACACTTTACATCATTATTAGGACATGCCCGTGTATAAAACAACGACACACCCTTCATCAATGTTAACCAATGACCGTGTTGTTAAGACAAAATCGTCTAGAGAATAGATTGTCTAAGGCAACCCATGTTTTGAAGTTTAATAAAGAGCATTAAGCGTAACATTATTGCTTAAGAAAAGTTGTTTAACATAGCAGCATCTGATAGCGTCTTATAATGTTTGAAGCTGAAGTAATACTTTCGAGACTAAATTTTTTAAATGGATTAGAAAATCATAAACAACATTTAGAAGAAAGTATCTCTCATTGAATATCTCAATGGACTATATGAACTAAATAAGCTAGTTGCTTAGGAAAACAAAAGTCTATCTCTTATATGGCATTAAGGTTAAAAGAACTGTCTATTCAATACAGTGTTATATCAAGCAAAGCTTTCTATATAAATTATCATCTGATGAGTGACCTCTAAAACACTTTAGTCTTTGAAAGTACTTCATGATAATATCATTTGATGAATATATTTGTGATTTGTCTTATCAAACAATGCATTTATTAATAAAAGACAAATGATATCTTGAACTCGTTACACTGCTTAACGCTTATCAACGTTCAAAACATTTAATGCATGTATGAAAAAGTACTTTTGTTCTTGTATACTTTGTTTTTTATTTGATATTCATGTAGATCAATAAAGTAGAAAAATATTATATAAATCATGACAACTAAGAAAAAAACATTATGAGAAAAAAAAGAACATTCTGAAAATGTTTCATTGATAGAAATCCCTAAGTTAGAAAGAACAGGTAACCACACAATAGGAAGCCTCATAGAATAGAAAACAAAGCATCTTAAATGCTAGAATAGAAACTCTAAGTTAAAAAGAACAGGTATTCGCACAACAAGTTTAATACACCAAGAAGAAAAGATGTAGACGATCGATCCTCTAAAAGAAGTCTAACACAAAAAATCACAAAAAGATCAAACTTGGCTTATGAAATTAGAAAAATAGGACAAGCAAAAACCTAAACAATAACAGGATACAACATAAGAGAAACAAGATTAGACTATCTGAAGAAAAACTAAAGAAAACACTTAGAAAACAATTTGAAGAACCATAAGACTTAAAACCAATATCCCCAACATAGAAAAACCTTAGGAAAACACTTAGAACTTTAGGAAACAGAAAAACAACTAAGTCATAACACTCAGACTTTATGTTAAACGATTGTTAAGTTAAAAGCATATAAGAGGTTGAAGCTAAATGTGTAAAGCTTATCATACCCAAAGGTATTTAGTTTAACTCTTGAAAAAATGAAACAATCACTAGAAAAAAATTGTTTTTTAACTAGCACCATGGGCTTCGATTTTGTAAAAAACAAAGCATATAAAACGCGATGGCATTTTCGTAGTTATGGCGAACTTATATGCCTCGATTGGCTGGGGACAGAGGACATAGGACCGTTCGACTTCGGCTGTGGTACGAACCAAGGCAGTATGCCCTGCGAGACAAGTGACGTTTTCTGGAACCGAACGACCCAAGCACATTTTGTCCAATAATATGCCTCGGTTGTTTGGAGACATAGGCAATAGGACCGTTCGGCTTCAGTTGTGCTACGAACCGAGGCAGTATTCCCTGCTAGACAAGTGACCTTTTTTGGAACCGAACGACCCAAGCACATTTTGTCCACTAATAAGCCTCAGTTTTTTTAGGACAGAGGCAATAGGACCATTCGACTTCGGTTGTGATAGGAATCGAGGCAGTATTCCTGGCCAGATAGGTGACCTTTTCTGAAACCAAACGGCCCAAGCACATTTTGTCCACTAATATGCCTCGATTTTTTGGGGGTAGAGGCAATAAGACCGTTCAGCTTTGATTCTGCTATGAACTGAAGCAGTATGTCCTCCCTATATGCCTCCGCTACAAGGGCATTGTAATGGTAGAGAAAGAACGGTGACGCCGCCGCTAGGGCTTGACGAGGGCTCTAACTGTTCGGTTCACTATACAAACTGTTTGGTTCAGTACGTACCGAGGACTGAAATAAAAATAAATAAATAAAACACGCTACTGCCTCGGTTATCTAAGAACTGAGGCAAAATTCTACCCCTTTTTGCCTCGGTTCATAACTGAGGCAAAAAGCCTACCCCTTTTTGCCTCGCTTGTATATATGCCTTGGTTGCGAAACCACTGTTATAGGCAAAAATAACCGCTATCGTTTTCCCTTACTGCACTAGTTAATGTCAAGACGATGTCATTGACAAAAAACACTTTAAAAGACTAAAACTTAAAACATGAAAGAAAAAAAGTTAAACCCCTTTAGTTGTCCCTATTTACGTAGGTTTTTCTTAGTTCGATCCCCGTTGTTTTAAAATTCACAATTGAGTCCTAAATAGTGCTAATTTGAATCAATTAGGCCCTTTCCGTTAAATTACCTTAACAGGGTTAAATTTTTTATGAGGTAGGAGGTTGACGTGTCAAGTTTTTTAAACGTGGCATTCTCGTATATTTATACGTTGCATTTCATAACAAAAAAAATGTTTTAAAATTAGTATTGCGCTTGTAGATTAAAAACCAGAAATCTAGAGGTATGAAGCACATCACTACCGACAGTGGCAGCTTCAGAGGAACACGGTAAGGCCTTTCAATGGAGGGCGACTTCTACCTCAACCAAAGAAACGACGCAAACTCCAACATATCTTTTAATTTGTGATTCAAGAAAAGTGTAAAAGAATAGTGAAATAGTTTTTGAAAGATTATATTTTTTACACTTCACCAATTCACCCCACTCTTGGTGTGAGAAACTAAGTCATTCTATTTTAACAGCAACTAATGGTGATCATTCCAAGAAAAGGACAAGTTGTATGGTTTTGTTCTCTTCATAGAAAGATGAAATTGAAATTGATGTCCTTGTTACAAACGTAAGTATTACATTCATTCATATAAATTCATTATAAATTAATATATTAACCTATGTTTCTAATGTTTCAAATAATTCAAATTTGTTTAGAGTTGTGGCTAGGACCAGAGGACAAGAAATTGAAATGATATATCCTAAGGTTGGAATTCGTTGATCTTTAACCATTAGAACCCAGATACCAACCAATTTGGTTGCTGTTATGAGTGATCACATGATTGAAATTGCAAGTCGTAGTGGACATAATCTGCCCTATGGTGTTTTTATCGGCAGTGTATTGAAGCATCATCAAGTTGATCTTACTGGTGAAATTGTTTTTTGGAAAACTTTATATCCAAACATCATATATGCAAACACATTAGATTCCAGAAAATCATATATGCAAACATGGATGACTAAGTCTAATATAGAGTTGTATATCGTGTCATACATTGATGTGTATGTGTTTCCCAATATTGTCAACTTTATATAAATTTTAATCAATAAACTCACTAGTTGTTGGTACATGATAGAGGCCATTCGCAACTGTTGAGATTGTTGATACGGGTAGCACTAGTTTAGTAACCTAAAATCTCAATGATATCTGTGTTTTTTATGATGACAACACATAATTAATAACACATGAGTATTCTGTGTTACATGTTATATGCTTACATATTATATGCTTTTATTTACTGTGATAAATCTGTATAAGCATATTTGTGAACATGATTGTGTTGTTCATTGCATATCACTGTGATTAATATATGATTTTATATGTGTATGCATGACATGAGTTTTTGGAAAATGGAAAACCACAAGCACTTTGATTAAACTTTAATGTGTAGCAAAACAACAGTTTTAAGTCGATTACATTATGGGATGAATCGATTAAAACTCATGTGTTTGCACAAACTTTTATCAAGTGTGTTGTGAGTTATTTTGAAGAGAAAAGTTTTCAAAAATGTGCTAAGTTGGTTGTTATTTTGAAAACTGATTGAATGTTTGACATAATTGTCTTAACGATCATATTCTTAAATATATTGACCAGGAATTTATTGTAAGTCGATTGTATTAAATGTGCATTCAATTAATGGGCTTGACTAATGCTAGTCTATTATAACTGCAAGATCCATTCGACTACATTAGTAGCGAAATCGATTAAAACATGTCTGATGAGTGTATTACTATAAATTGATGTCGTTTTGAATTATATAAGAACTTTGTGAATAAGACATTTTCATATCTTTTACAGAATGTTGTGTGGTCTTACAGAGAAAGAAAAAGCTCCAAGAACCAAGATTGACCATGGTCATCAAAGACTTCAGGTTTCTTGAGAAGCAAGGCTTGCTGATTTGAACGTCTGATCAATCTGCACAACTAGGTGTATTCTGCATGATCAGAATTTGCAATCTTTGAATATTGGCTTGGATTCCCTATGGTGTTAGCAGGAAGAAGAACAGTGTTCTTGACTTTGAAAGTGTCTCAAAGGGATAGACAGTAGAAGAAGGTGTTCNATGATGGGTGGGAGATCAATTGTTAATAGTAGAAAGATTGCTTGGATTTCTCTCAAGGTTTGACATATGCTAAAGTCATACTTTGTTATAATTGTTTTATTTTAATGTTATTCACTAACTATTATCAACTGTGATGATATATTGTAGTGTAACAGACAAAATGGGTCATATGAGTGCGGATACTATGTAATGTATTGGATGACCCATATTGTTCGTTCTCACATCACAAGTCGCTGGGAAACGGTAATATTTAACTTTAACAAATTTTGATTTTTTCCCAAATGTTGAATTCATATACACTAATTAATATGAATTGTCTTTTGCAGAGATTCAAGACTACTACACCAGTTCCTGAGAAGTCACTATTATTCATTAGGAACGCTGCTGCGAAGTATATAATTAGATTATACAATAGCTCTTAGATTTAAACATTGCATTTGATTAGATTGAATTTTCTTAGACTTTGTACTTTATTTGATGTTGAAATACATTTGAACATGTGTTTGTTATGTTCAAATTGAATTTGTGTACATGTTTTTATATGCAGGTCTGTTTTTGTGGTAGTGGATATCACAAAAACAGACTTGCAATTTTAAAAAACTGCAGGGGAATATGTCGCGGTTGTAACCACAACCGCGGCATATAGTGTTTCGTTTTTTTGTAAAATGAGACATATGGCCGCGGTTAGTGCTAAAACCGCGGCATATACTACAGTCTTTTGCCGCGGTTGAACCGCGGCATGTAGTGGACAAATTTTTTTTTAAAAAAAAGAAAATGGATTTAGGCAGCGGTTCCTTGGACAACCGCGGCATATTCCGCAACCTATATACCGCGGTCATAACCGCGGCCTAAAGTCTCTGACTTACTACCGCGGCTGAATATGCTGCGGTTCGTAAACCGCGACGTATAGTGAAAAATAACCGCGGTAAAATCCCCTCGCTGCACTAGTGATTAATTTCTAATATGGGTTGGGCTCATGTCACATTTTGATGAAAAAAAATTATCAATGAGAACATCAATGTCTTTACCATTGAGAATCACCTAATTAATGAGGGTTGTTTAATAACAATAAGATAATAATAATACCACATGAAAATTTTTACGACATATAAACAACACTTACATGTCCTTTGAATCCAAGTACATTCACACTCTCCAAAGGAAGAATTTAATCTAAATCTCACAACACTCTATTACAATAGTATAAGAAAAGTCAAATACAAGCTTAAAATGTCTTTTACTGGGTAAGAAACACCATGGACTTAGAGTCCATTATATAATGAATATCACACACTCCCTTACTTATCCTAGGTAATATTGAACTTTCTAAGATATATTATTTTCATTAGCCTAACAATTTCCTATATCATTAAAATAAATGCATCTTCATTGCTTATACCAACAATCATACTCCAACATAAAGAGTATACTCACTTAGAATTAAACCATCTCAAGAATTTCCTTTCATTACACACCTGCATCAAAGCTTACCAAGGCCCATGTATAAACAACACATAACCTACATCAATATTAACGAATGCCCTTCCACAATTACCACACACCCTACATCAAAGTTAATCAATGATCATGTATAATCACGACATACCATGCATCAATATTAGTCAATGCCCATGTATAATTACCACACATCTTGCATGCCTATGTATAATCACAACACACTTTACATCATTATTAGGACATGCCCGTGTATAAAACAACGACACACCCTTCATCAATGTTAACCAATGACCGTGTTGTTAAGACAAAATCGTCTAGAGAATAGATTGTCTAAGGCAACCCATGTTTTGAAGTTTAATAAAGAGCATTAAGCGTAACATTATTGCTTAAGAAAAGTTGTTTAACATAGCAGCATCTGATAGCGTCTTATAATGTTTGAAGCTGAAGTAATACTTTCGAGACTAAATTTTTTAAATGGATTAGAAAATCATAAACAACATTTAGAAGAAAGTATCTCTCATTGAATATCTCAATGGACTATATGAACTAAATAAGCTAGTTGCTTAGGAAAACAAAAGTCTATCTCTTATATGGCATTAAGGTTAAAAGAACTGTCTATTCAATACAGTGTTATATCAAGCAAAGCTTTCTATATAAATTATCATCTGATGAGTGACCTCTAAAACACTTTAGTCTTTGAAAGTACTTCATGATAATATCATTTGATGAATATATTTGTGATTTGTCTTATCAAACAATGCATTTATTAATAAAAGACAAATGATATCTTGAACTCGTTACACTGCTTAACGCTTATCAACGTTCAAAACATTTAATGCATGTATGAAAAAGTACTTTTGTTCTTGTATACTTTGTTTTTTATTTGATATTCATGTAGATCAATAAAGTAGAAAAATATTATATAAATCATGACAACTAAGAAAAAAACATTATGAGAAAAAAAAGAACATTCTGAAAATGTTTCATTGATAGAAATCCCTAAGTTAGAAAGAACAGGTAACCACACAATAGGAAGCCTCATAGAATAGAAAACAAAGCATCTTAAATGCTATAATAGAAACTCTAAGTTAAAAAGAATAGGTATCCGCACAACAAGTTTAATACACCAAGAAGAAAAGATGTAGACGATCGATCCTCTAAAAGAAGTCTAACACAAAAAATCACAAAAAGATCAAACTTGGCTATGAAATTAGAAAAATAGGACAAGCAAAAACCTAAACAATAACAGGATACAACATAAGAGAAACAAGATTAGACTATCTGAAGAAAAACTAAAGAAAACACTTAGAAAACAATTTGAAGAACCATAAGACTTAAAACCAATATCCCCAACATAGAAAAACCTTAGGAAAACACTTAGAACTTTAGGAAACAGAAAAACAACTAAGTCATAACACTCAGACTTTATGTTAAACGATTGTTAAGTTAAAAGCATATAAGAGGTTGAAGCTAAATGTGTAAAGCTTATCATACCCAAAGGTATTTAGTTTAACTCTTGAAAAAATGAAACAATCACTAGAAAAAAATTGTTTTTTAACTAGCACCATGGGCTTCGATTTTGTAAAAAACAAAGCATATAAAACGCGATGGCATTTTCGTAGTTATGGCGAACTTATATGCCTCGATTGGCTGGGGACAGAGGACATAGGACCGTTCGACTTCGGCTGTGGTACGAACCAAGGCAGTATGCCCTGCGAGACAAGTGACGTTTTCTGGAACCGAACGACCCAAGCACATTTTGTCCAATAATATGCCTCGGTTGTTTGGAGACATAGGCAATAGGACCGTTCGGCTTCAGTTGTGCTACGAACCGAGGCAGTATTCCCTGCTAGACAAGTGACCTTTTTTGGAACCGAACGACCCAAGCACATTTTGTCCACTAATAAGCCTCAGTTTTTTTAGGACAGAGGCAATAGGACCATTCGACTTCGGTTGTGATAGGAATCGAGGCAGTATTCCTGGCCAGATAGGTGACCTTTTCTGAAACCAAACGGCCCAAGCACATTTTGTCCACTAATATGCCTCGATTTTTTGGGGGTAGAGGCAATAAGATCGTTCAGCTTTGATTCTGCTATGAACTGAAGCAGTATGTCCTCCCTATATGCCTCCGCTACAAGGGCATTGTAATGGTAGAGAAAGAACGGTGACGCCGCCGCTAGGGCTTGACGAGGGCTCTAACTGTTCGGTTCACTATACAAACTGTTTGGTTCAGTACGTACCGAGGACTGAAATAAAAATAAATAAATAAAACACGCTACTGCCTCGGTTATCTAAGAACTGAGGCAAAATTCTACCCCTTTTTGCCTCGGTTCATAACTGAGGCAAAAAGCCTACCCCTTTTTGCCTCGCTTGTATATATGCCTTGGTTGCGAAACCACTGTTATAGGCAAAAATAACCGCTATCGTTTTCCCTTACTGCACTAGTTAATGTCAAGACGATGTCATTGACAAAAAACACTTTAAAAGACTAAAACTTAAAACATGAAAGAAAAAAAGTTAAACCCCTTTAGTTGTCCCTATTTACGTAGGTTTTTCTTAGTTCGATCCCCGTTGTTTTAAAATTCACAATTGAGTCCTAAATAGTGCTAATTTGAATCAATTAGGCCCTTTCCGTTAAATTACCTTAACAGGGTTAAATTTTTTATGAGGTAGGAGGTTGACGTGTCAAGTTTTTTAAACGTGGCATTCTCGTATATTTATACGTTGCATTTCATAACAAAAAAAATGTTTTAAAATTAGTATTGCGCTTGTAGATTAAAAACCAGAAATCTAGAGGTATGAAGCACATCACTACCGACAGTGGCAGCTTCAGAGGAACACGGTAAGGCCTTTCAATGGAGGGCGACTTCTACCTCAACCAAAGAAACGACGCAAACTCCAACATATCTTTTAATTTGTGATTCAAGAAAAGTGTAAAAGAATAGTGAAATAGTTTTTGAAAGATTATATTTTTTACACTTCACCAATTCACCCCACTCTTGGTGTGAGAAACTAAGTCATTCTATTTTAACAGCAACTAATGGTGATCATTCCAAGAAAAGGACAAGTTGTATGGTTTTGTTCTCTTCATAGAAAGATGAAATTGAAATTGATGTCCTTGTTACAAACGTAAGTATTACATTCATTCATATAAATTCATTATAAATTAATATATTAACCTATGTTTCTAATGTTTCAAATAATTCAAATTTGTTTAGAGTTGTGGCTAGGACCAGAGGACAAGAAATTGAAATGATATATCCTAAGGTTGGAATTCGTTGATCTTTAACCATTAGAACCCAGATACCAACCAATTTGGTTGCTGTTATGAGTGATCACATGATTGAAATTGCAAGTCGTAGTGGACATAATCTGCCCTATGGTGTTTTTATCGGCAGTGTATTGAAGCATCATCAAGTTGATCTTACTGGTGAAATTGTTTTTTGGAAAACTTTATATCCAAACATCATATATGCAAACACATTAGATTCCAGAAAATCATATATGCAAACATGGATGACTAAGTCTAATATAGAGTTGTATATCGTGTCATACATTGATGTGTATGTGTTTCCCAATATTGTCAACTTTATATAAATTTTAATCAATAAACTCACTAGTTGTTGGTACATGATAGAGGCCATTCGCAACTGTTGAGATTGTTGATACGGGTAGCACTAGTTTAGTAACCTAAAATCTCAATGATATCTGTGTTTTTTATGATGACAACACATAATTAATAACACATGAGTATTCTGTGTTACATGTTATATGCTTACATATTATATGCTTTTATTTACTGTGATAAATCTGTATAAGCATATTTGTGAACATGATTGTGTTGTTCATTGCATATCACTGTGATTAATATATGATTTTATATGTGTATGCATGACATGAGTTTTTGGAAAATGGAAAACCACAAGCACTTTGATTAAACTTTAATGTGTAGCAAAACAACAGTTTTAAGTCGATTACATTATGGGATGAATCGATTAAAACTCATGTGTTTGCACAAACTTTTATCAAGTGTGTTGTGAGTTATTTTGAAGAGAAAAGTTTTCAA